CTGGCGAGGGTCGTGTGACAGCACTTCTTGAGAAGGCAGCACTTTTGGGGTCTTCGGGTCTGGCTGACACAGACCTCAAGTGCACCTACGTGGCCTGGGGCTTCAGGGGAGGAAACCCCGCGTTATGAAGAAGGGAGCAGCCTGCGTGATGCCGCAGAAGAGACCTTCCTCCACTCACTGGAGCCCGGGAGCCACGCTCCCTCACGCCTGCTCTCCCAGGACGGGGAAGGCTCGGAATGTGGTCCAAAGTTGGGCGTCGGCATTTTGGAACTTTCTCTCTTCCTGTGTCTATTTGATGAGGCACAAAATTAAACCCGATGTGGCAAAGCTGCACACTCTGTGCAGGGTTTCCGGGCTTCAATGCTCAGGTTCAGCTAAGCAAATTCTTTGTAAGAGTCGTCACGTATGTGAGCAGGGCACCCCCTACTCCAAAGAGGCTCCACCCAGGTGCCTCCACTCTCTTCCTGGCTCCCTCCTAATACTGTGCCGGTTCTCATGTTCTCTTCTCCCCGTGTGTTGCCACCTCCTGGGTTCCCAGGGGGAGCCTCTCTATTGTCCCAGACTCTGGCATTAGGGACCCAGAGAGTCCCACAGGACATCCACGGGGGCCTCTCCCAGCCACCGCACCCTCTGACGTGGACCCATCAACTCCCAGTTGCCCCCTTTGCTCTCAGGAACGCTGGGTCTGAGACGTGTCCCCCTGCGTGAGAAGGGCAGAGAAAATGAGGCCAGAAACGGTCCTTCTCTTCTCCATTGTCGGAGCCTCCAAGATGCTGGTCTGTTGGGATCTAGCAGCAAATCGTACCTGCCCACCCTCGGCTCTCCAGATCCCCTCGCCTGCTTCCACCACCCACATGTTTAACGAGTGCCAGACAAAGAGGAAGGTCAGCAGTGGGGCAGGGGTACCCCAGCTCCTCCCTCCATCAGAGGGGGCCCTCAGGGCTCGCTGGGACTGCTCTCAAACTCCTGGGCCCAGCAGAGGATACTGATGGGAGAGGAAGGCACACAGGCTGTCAGCCAAGGGAGCACCTGTGGTACTCACCCTGCTCCCCCACCTGCCAGACCTCCATCTCCAGCGGTCACAGCAGCATAAGGCAGAAACCGTTATCCAAAGAACGACATGTGCTGACTTTTGACTTTGTGTTCCACCCCAGAGGTCATGTTTGCCCTTCAAGCTGGGAGGACTCAGGGTTTGGAGGGACTTCTGTAGTTAAGTGTAAGGGGATGACAAGTTCCTAAACTCACACTGGACTTTGGGATGAAGTTGTGGCATTTTATTTTTCTGCGCTTGCATATAAAGCAATGTGCATTCAAGGAGGTGATAAGTGTATTCCCGTAATCTCCTGGAAGATGAACGCCAAAGCTAAAGCTAAATCAAGGTGAATGTAATTTGCATAAAGAATAGCCACATTAACAATGGGGAGGAAAATGCTGATCCCATGAATACTGGAAAAAGGACTCATGGATAAAATGCAGAAATAACGCTTTAATAATGCATGTGATCACATTTTTATTAACAAAGGACGTCTTGTTTGGAAGCAAATACATCCTTGAGACAAGTTTGAAATTGATCCTCCGATAGGCAGAAATCCACACTACTTATATATTCTAATTATAGTTACAACCTGCACTTAATGCAAACGTTCTAAACTCTTAGTCACTTTATTAAGAACCAGAAAAGGAACTTCTTGAAGCATAATGAGAGCTGCTCACAAGATCTGAGAAAGAAAACGAAGAGATAATTCTGCATAGAGCTGGAGAATGCCAGATGTAATTTATTTAATAAAAGTGCTTAGTGTCTCTTTTTTGGTTTAGGAATTGGTACACCCTTAGGGGTTCAGACAGTACCATGCTTCAGCACTGCTATTTCTAGGGCAAGATAAAAATGTGTATCAGAGAAAAGTAATCATTTATCATCGTAATGGTTACATCCCACTTTAGAAACCACTAGAGACTGCTTAACATTCTTATTTCCAACACGGTTTTCCTGAGTCTTCAGGTGACAAATGGAAACTGATGCCAGAAGGCTTTCTTTCCGTTTGTTCCTTAGAAAAATGGCTAGATGTGGAGTTCATTTCCATCTGGGGTGACGCTCAGGTCTGTGCTTTCGCAGCCTGATCCTTCCCTTCCCGCTTTGTGTGATTCCTTCAAAAGTCTCCAAAGGCAACATCTGGGTCCAGTCAAAGAAGACAGATGGGCTCCTTCCACCTCCTCTCCCGGCCCCTGGAGACCTCTTCCCGGGGCAGGGGCGGGGTGGGGGTGGTGCGTTCTATCTGAACGTAATGACAGGCTGACTACATTTTTCCTGGGTAGTGTGTTCAGGGCATTCCTACCATTAGAACCCATTCTGTATCCTTACAGACCTCCTCATTATGGATGGATTTCTCTATTTCAAAACATTCCTAGGATTTCTAGATGCCGTCATTGAGTCCTATCATTTTTCTTGTTATTCTTATGAGTTTTCCTCTGTGACTTTCTACGGCCAGATCCTCCTCATCTGTCGTGGAACTGGAGGCCAATTTCCTAAAAATCATCACTCTTGCCTACCATGGTTATTAACCAATAAAAGATTCAGAATCAATCTGGATTTCTTTGGTGCTGTGGCAACATCAAATCCTTGACATTTCTTCCTGGTGTTAAGACTTCATGCATTGGAACCTAACCCGTTTAATCTTTCTCTGTTTCTTCCTCTTAAGAAAAAGGATCTAAATGTTCCACTTTTAGACTACAAAAACTAAGGTTTTTGTAGATTAGTAATTAACAGGAAGAACAAAAGTTTTATTGAACACTAACCATGGGTCAGGTGCTCAGGTAAGGGCATTCAAGTATCTTCTCAATGCCCCTCCCCGAGGTAGATATCACATTATCTACATTTTGTAAATGGAGGTGAGACCTGGAGTCCACAGGGTTCATCCTTGTGTCCCAGGAAGGGCAAGATCTGGTGAGTACACGGGATCCTGGAGGGAGGAGCCCAGGTGCTGGGGCCACAGCACCCCGGAGAACTGACCCATAAAGGCAGACAAAGTGGAGGAGGCGGCCTGCGACACGCTCGCCTTCCGTAAGGGTGTCTTGAGCATTATTTCATATCCCGGATAAGTTTCAGCCCGATCAACAAATCTGGAAAAATAACCCACTGACAGAAGAGGGGTGGTTTACCTAAATTTCCTAGGGGTGAGGTAGGTGCTGAGAGCACCAAGACAGTCCAGGAAGCAAGCCCCCATGGGTTCCAGAATCCGCGGCAGGCAGGTCAGCATGGAGCTCAATCCCGCTCCCTCGCCCCAAAGAGCTGTCCAGATGGTCCAGCCTCAGCACTTTCTGATGATAACTGAATCCCACGTGGAGATGTCCCCACAGAGAGGATGGAGCACGCGCGGGGACTCAGCAGTTGGGTTTGGGTTTGTGATGCATGAACTGGCATTCTGGTTTCTGTAACTGTCCCTTCTGAGTTTGACTAAGGAGTGTCAATTCCCCGGAGCCTCATATACGGTGGGTGTACAGGCAGATTCAGACTCCTGAATCTGCAAACCAAGGAACCCAATCCCGTACCTTACTGACCCACAGGGGAGGGAACGTTTTGCCCTTTCCTTTAACTTTTTGGACCCTCTGCTTCCTCCTCCTTCCTCTGCCCCAGGGAGCAGAAGGTAGAAATCAGAGTCCGGGGTGTGGGGCGAGGCCATTGTCATCACAGGGTGTGGTCACTGTGTTTAAAGGCTGGCCCTGGGGGTGGTGCTCCTGGAGGCCCCGTGAAGAGCCTGTGCTCTTGGAAAGTTCACCTGAGCACGTGCACACTCACCTGAGCATCCTCATTCCGGTCTTACTCTTGAGCCCTATGCCATGAGGCTCACCAGGGTCCCAAGCACTGGACCGCACTCAGAGGGAGGGGAGAGGCCTGGCTCCGTCTATACCGAAACTGCTCACTCCAATCCAGCTCTTGTGGGCTCTGAGCGAGGGTCCTGGGCACCCCCACAGCCATTAATAACGTGGCACTTTGCTCCTCCTGAGCTGCCTGGTGCCCAGCTCAGGGGCTGCGCAGGAGGCAGGCAGTCCTGGATTGATGTCTTGACTCTTAGCAGAGCGCATCAAGGAATTCCAGCCCCGAGACAGCGCCCAGGGATGCGATAGGACCAGCAGCCTGACCCCAGAGCTGAGGTGGTGACCGAAACCTAGTCCTGCCTTCTGGGAGCCGGCAGTGCCCCTGGTGTGATGGAAAACTCCACACAGCAAAAACGCAGAGAGCGCCTTCCTCTTAGCGCACTCCCCCCCGCATGGAGAAGGGCACGGGGATGAATAAACAAATGACTCTTGAGGTTATACAATAATTTCAAGAATAATTTGCCGTATCTTCAGGGATCTCACGCTGTTTTCAATGTTTCATCTTACTTTACGTGATTTTGGTGTTTTGAGGCCAAAATGAACGCTCACACTTCTTCACCCTCGGCACGCTGATGCTTTGGACTGGATCGCTCTTTGCTTCGAGGGGGACGGTGCTGTCTGGTGTGGTGTCCCCGGCCCCTACCCACTAGCAACCCCTGCTCAAATGCAACAACCAAAAATGTCTCTGTCACCAAACGTCCCCTGGAGGGCGCGATCCCCTCTGGTTGAGAACCCGTAGCTTTAAAAGCTGGTACTAGTCCTTGCTAATTTGGGGGGTAGGTTTGAGTAGTTTCGGTACTTGAGCATCTTCAGGCAGTGATCCCATTAAAACACCCTCCCTTTACCCACCCCCGGCCCGTTTGTTTATTTGGGAATGACAGCCACCACTGGGCAGAGGGCCACTGCTGAGGGGCCAACATTTAGCCGGCTGGCTCCTGGCGAGTTTAACATTAGGTTTTGTGGGTGTCATTTGGTCAGTGTTCCTAGCACGCTGGGCGTTATTTGGGGACCCTAAATTCAACACAAGGGCTCAGACCAGAGTGGAGACTGTCCTTTCTCTGCAGAGTCAGAGTCCCAGATAACCCGGAAGTCATTCAGTCCCAAATATTTGACAAGAGCCCACTGACCTCTGTGAATGTGTGCCAGAGACAGGCAGGTGAGGTGGTGAAGACATGAGTTCCAGACACTGGAAAAGTCCTCATTCTCGGTCGTCACCTGCCAAACTGACAGAAGAAAAATAACTGCTGATGATATTCTGAGAGAATCGAACTTCCTAGCAAGGCAGATGGCAGATAATGCACATTTCAGTACAACCAGTAAGCGGGGGTATGTTGCACGCAAGACCTACTGTAGGCTGGCCTCTGTCACCCCCAAAAGCTATTCGTTAGATGGAGAAATGCCATAAACATACTGTGAGTCCAGTTTACGTGTTTCTATTAATTCCTCACACACACCAAGCATGGCCACCACCAGTTGCCAATTCTTGAGCTCTGACAGGCATCGAAGAAACAATTCGAAGGCGAGGGACACAGAACGTGAGACGGTTTTTAATCAGGTCACTCCATGCCTGGAGAACTCTAAATACCAGAACGAACTACTTAAATCTAATCTGCAACAGAACCTACCCACCTTCCCTTCCCCCTCCCCCCCTTGTACTCAGGTACTGCCACACGTTTTCAAATTCTTTCTTTTCTTTTTTCTCTTCTTTTGTCTTCTTCTCGTTTTCTTTTTTCTTAAAATTCTGCTTATAAGCTTTTGCTTGAAATTCATTTCCTGACAGTTCTGGAGGCTGGAAGTCCAGTATCAGGGTGCCAGCACGGTCAGGTGCTGGTGAGACTCTTCCTGGCTTGCAGAAGGCTGCCTTTTTTCTATTTTCACATGGCAGAGCGAGAGTGGTCTCGTTCTCTTTTTGTAAGGAAACTCATCCCATCATGAAGTTCCCACCCTCATGACCTAATCTAACCCTAATGACCTCTCAAAGGCCCCATCTCCAAATGCCATCACATTGGGAATGAGGGCTTCAACACATGAATTTGGGGGCGGGGACACAGTCGTTCAGTCCATAACAACATTCCTTTTGATTTTCATTATAGAAATGTATGTACAGATTCTTAGAGGAATCTTGTAATTGAACGACCATGGACTTTGGGGCTTGAGAGATAAAAGTTGAAACTATAGCCCCATTACTAATCCACCTTTGTGGTTAGGACAAATTATTTCACTTCTGAGCCATTAAAAATGTTTTTTTTTTTTTAATTTAGATATAACTGACAATAGCAATATGTTAGTTTCAGGTGTACAACATAATGATTCAATATTTGTGTATATTGCAAAATGATCGCCACCATAAGTCTAGTTCACATCCGTTCACCACAGTTACATTTTTTTTTTCTTGTGATATAAGCACAGGGACTATAGTTAATAACACAACTGCTTGTATATTTGAAAGTTGCTAAGAGAGCAGATCTTACAAATTCTCATCAAATTGTTTCTTGAATGCCTGTCACATCTGCAGCATTGGCATTTAGTAGTGGCTGTATTTGACATGAGTGGGGAATGAGCATCAAGGTGGAAATTAGACTCACAGGACATTTATGTCATTTATTCACCTAACGAGTAGCTTTTTTCAGCCCTACTCTGTGTAAGATGGTCTTTCAGTGACTCTAATGAAGGAAGCTGTTTGCTTTATTTTGTTTTTTAATCAGAGGGAAGTGAAGAAATATAACTGGAATAAAATAAGAATGAAGAAAATACACAGAAAAGAGAAAAAGGTGCCGAATCACAAAGCTGGCAGTTACGGTCATTTCGGGAAGGCAGATTCTTTTTTTTTTTTTTTT